TAAACTTGAACTTAGTTGAGAATGAATATCAAGTATGACTAGATTTCAGTTAAGCGGTCGAACTCATAACCTGAGCAAAGAACAAGTTAGCGGATTAAAACAATAGGATTTCTGGAAGATCTACTGAGAATGTTATTATACGCGGAACTAGACCGATCAGCCTATAAATATGAAGAATTATCAAGGGATGAGGAGATTTATTCGATACTACTATGTTATGGCTCTATGAGCATGACGATTAACACATCTTATTTGAGATTTTTTTTTGTATATTTGATTTAAATCTATATAAACCAGTTCGTTAAACTCATCTCATTGCTTATCAAATTTATAGAAAATTCCTGCTCTATGGTTTTCTTCTCTAATTTACATACAAATACTTAATGTGAAAATCTGCATACACACAACTTGTTTTTAGATTTTCGGAAAAGAGGATTTGATACAATATTGATTAAAAATATGTGTATCTTTCTCTCTTCTACAAGTAGTCTTAAGTCTATCGGCAGCCATATCTCCAAAGCTGATGTAAATTAAGCTCTCCAAAGCTGATGTAAATTAAGCACTCTTATAAATTTTTAAGTAAACTCTACATTACATTTTAAGTATAATAAATAACTAAATGTGACCCCAAAAAAAAGGGGTATAAAAATCATTGTTTTGTGTCATTTATTTTATATATTTGCATTACTTATAATTGATACAAAAGAATTTTACATCACTTAATAAAGTGATTCTGAAAATGTTGATGCAAATATTTTGTATCATTATATAAGCAGTTGATGCAAATATTTCCACAAAATGTGTCGATTGCAAAAAATGATGTAAAATATGTATCAGTTAAAATAAATGATGTCAAGATTTGCTTCGGCTATAGAAATTGATGTTAAATAATTGTATCGATTTTTTCAATTGATGTGATAATTATATCACTTATAAACAAGTGATGTAAAATTATTAGCAGTTTCCGTAAATGGTTCTAATTAATATTTATGTCATTTATTCAAAAGTGATAACAATATTTGTGAAATGGCACAAAAATTAAAATAGTTAAAAAATATTAATACTAAATAGAAAATGAATTAAATTACAACCCAACAAAGAAAGAAGAATTAAATTACAATCATAACAAGATCTCAAATTGATGCTAAGAGTAAAAATCTAATGAAATCTCTCGTTTCTTTTTGTTGACGTAGAATTTTTTTATTCACTTAAATTTTCTTCTTCATCTTCAATTCCACTTTTCCCATTAGAAAGTTAATTTTTTGTAGAATTTGATTCCTCCTTCTCATCGGCTTTGTAGTTTGTACTATATTACATTGAACACCAACTACAAAAAACTATCTGCTTCACCTGTTATAATAGTATTGACTAATCAAATATAAGAAAATCATGTTTCGATTAGTATTATTAAGAGAACTTACCTCATTTTCTTCTTCTTGTACATGTGAAAAAGATAACCTAATAACAAAAGCAAGTGGTGATCAACGATGTAAGGACCTTATAATAAGGTTATGAAACAGCAACCTTGAACAAGATGGAGCGAGAGAAACAAAATAAGAGAAACTCATTATCCTTAGGAAAAAGAAATAGTGAAAGGTTGGGTGAATCTTTATAGAAAATTAACTGCTTTAAAAACTAAAACTGCTTTAAAAAAAAAATCAAGGATAGTTTGAAAGATCTAAAAGCCAAAATTTTCGTCAAAAATTAGTACACACAAATAAAATATTTTACATGATTAAGAAGTAATTAAAGTGTTGACAAAAAAAAAGTAATTAAAGTTTTAGCACGTATTTACACTTAAGTAGTTATATATATAGTATAATTACCTATTTTCTATCATGAATTTTTCTTAAATTAACGAATATATATTTGGAGATCCCACATTGATTTAATTTAGATATAGCAATAATTAAATACTAGTAAATATATAAAAAAATTACGGTTAAGAAAAGATACATAGAAATTTAGATTTAGTATCTAAATGGTTAGAGATTTACCTTATACTAGATAGTTATCCGCGTTATACGCGGACAATGTGATACGCTAGTGAAATTAATATAGTTTTAGTTTAAAAAATTAGCTATAGTATTTAAAAAATTATTATACAGAATCTAAAATTCGTTTATATATATGAATTTTGTAATTATTTTGTATAGAATGTATCCCACCCGTAAAATAATTGAAAGCAACAAATT